GAGGCTTCTCTCATGTCCCTGCATGAGGAGCTGGAGCTGATAGAGGGAGCTCATCCGTGCTCTCCCCTGATTCAAACCTGCAACCTGTTGGTCTTCAGTCCTGCCGGTACAAGGGTTTAACCCACTGTGCCACCGGGGGCTCCATCAAGATGCTTATCATATCATCTCTCAATCATCCATTCTACGGGCTAGTTCTGAAATAGAAGTAACAATGGGTTTGCACATAGTCAAGTAACTTTTTTGGACTATGACTCCCAGAATCCTTCAACTAGCAAAGATCCAAAAGGTGAATTCAGTCCCCAAAATATTCTTTTAAAAAAAGCTCTATAGTACCTTGCATCCCACTGTAATTAGTTTGTGAAGGCAGCACTCAAGAAAGCAACTTCAGTTTCAAAATTAGGACTATCAGGAGCTAGGTTTGCTGCACAATTATTTTGACCTACTTCTGTATTGATGTTTATTTATTATTTTATTTATTTATTTACCATATTTATATACCGCCTTTCTCAGCCCAAGGGCAACTCAGGGTGGTTTACAAATGGCACAATTCAATGCCCCCAATAACATAAAAACAATTAAAAACATGTAGCATAAATAACATCACTTTTTAAGCCTCTCCTCATAGGGCTTGTTCTCCAGACCCTTGAGAATTTCAGGGAGGGGGCTGAAGCGCCTCAACACTCCCCCCCCCCAGCTACATGCCTGTCACAGTAAGTTTGAAATCTGCACCTCTTTAAAGATTCACCTCTTGAAAGTGAGTTCAAGTGCCACAGGGTTCCATCCTGGGCCCGGTCATGTTCAACATCTTTATTAATGCTTAGATGAAGGCTTAGAAGGCATGATCATCAAGTTTGCAGACGACACCAAATTGGGAGGGATAGCCAGTACTCCAGAGGACAGGAGCAGGACTCAAAACAATCTTAACAGATTAGAGAGGTGATGAGCCACAACTAAATGAAGTTACAAAATGAAGTAACAAATGCAAGATACTCCACTTAGGCAGAAAAAATCAATAGGAGTATAGTGTCTAGAATCAGGGAAGTCATGCTACCCCGCTATTCAGCCTTGGTTAGACCACACCTGGAATATTGAGCACCACAATTGAAGAGAGATTTTGACAAGCTGGAATGTGTCCAGAGGAGGGCAACTAAAATGATCAAGGGTCTCAAGAGCAAACCCTATGAGGAGTGGCTTAAAGAGCTGGGCATGTTTATCCTGAAGAAGAGAAGGATGAGAGGAGACATGATAGCCATGTATAAATATGTGAGAGGAAGTCATAGGAGGGAGCCAACTTGTTTTCTGCTTCCCTGGAGACTAGGACGTGGAACAATGACTTCAAACTACAAAAAAAAAAAGGAGATTCCATCTGAACATTAGGAAGAACTTCCTGACTACGAGAGCTGTTCAGCCGTGGAACTCTCTGTGTTGGAGTGTGGTGGAGGCCCCTTCTTTGGAAGCTTTTAAATAGTCGGGGGTGCTTTGAATGCAATTTTCCTACTTCTTGGCAGGGGTTTGGACTGGATGGCCCATGAGGCCTCTTCCAACTCTATGATTCTATGATTCTCTATGATTCTATGAAGGTCCTTGCTCAAAAGATGCATATTGTTTGTCTCCAATTCACATTGATATCTGCATGCAACCATGAAGCAATACTAACTTTTTTTTTCTTCTGCAGAAATCCATACTTCTGCCACATACGTGTCACTTTTTTTTTATCTTGGCCCTATCATTCTAGTAGCAGTCTACAGCTATAAATATAACCATCTCCTTCACGCTATGCACCCACATCCTTTTCTAACAGGAAGACCATTGTGCAGAAGAGGTCATTTCTAGAGCAGCCAAGGAGTCTGTCATTCTGTCAGTATTCTCTTATGAAAAGTTAGCATTACAGTCTAGAGATGGCCAACACATTTATGTGACTCATTTGCTCCATTTTAGTCTAAGACCCGCTTGTGAATGCTTTATGGTCAAGGTGTCTGCCACAATTCTTTCCACTTCAGATTTGACTCTGTGAAAAAATGTGCTTCTTGCTTTACTGTTTTATTTTGTTCAAGGTTTAAAGCAAATTTGCAAAATGTTCCCACCCCACCTCCCAAATCCACCACAATTATGTTAAAATGTCCATATCCATTCTTTAAGGGAAAACAAACTCAAACAATACACAAAAGATCCTTATCTGTTAGTAGTTTCTGCCCTATATGGTCATGGAGTCATTTAATTCAATAATTTTCCCTGATTTTCTACAGTCAACTACCTTTTTCAGTCAGCCTATCTCCTAAAGAATACTTGTTTTATGTATTTGATTTACATCCCACTTTTTTCCAATGTGGACGCAAAGTGACTGATTTATAGAATAATAATAATAACAATAATAGCAACAACAACCTTTTTCTTATATCCTGCCACCATCTCACCGAAGGAACTTGGGGTGGCTTACATGGGGACCAAGTGCAGCAAAAACAGAAGTAAGATATAACACAATTAAAATACATTGTATGTCAATAATTGAAACAATAAAACCGAGCAACAGACATCATATGCTGTCTGATATTATAACATCCCTGGACAGGGTAAAATGCAATCAATTTTGGGGGTGGGGGGGACAGATTAAAAAATTTAACAAAGAAGAAATACGCATTTTAAAACATATTAAACAATTTATGCTTCCAATCCTCTCCAACTCTTAAGATTCTGTGAGAATAATATTTTCAGTGGAAACAATAAAAAGATAGCTTATCTTTGCAACAACAGGAAAACATTAAGACGAAGCTCTGAGCAATGATATATAAAGAATTCTTAAGATAAATTCAAACAGTTTTAAAGCATGCAGCTGCACATATACCATTGGGATCTAAAAATTTGGCCCAGATCTGTACAGCTGTATGCTTTAAAATACCCCTAGAACTTTAAAAAAAGGAATGGCAGTGGTGGCCCATGTTAACTGTGGGCCATTTCACCTCTGACCCAGTCTTGCTATCCACACTGTTCCCAAATGACTTGACTGCTTTAGAATATAGAATGAATTTCAGAGTATCCCCTCAATGTGCGACTAGGTCAGCTTAATCTAGTTAACACCACAATAAGAACCAGAGATCCTGGATGAATAATAACAACACTTATTTATAAGATTCAAGGGCCTCATGAAGACAGCCAGTAGCATATTTTCCATTGGCATGGGGTATTGAATTTGTATAGATGAGGCTCTTCTTCTCTGGAGCTCCTTTCCTCAAAAGACTAGGTAGTTTGCCTTTTTGCTGTCTTTTCACTCTAAAGTGAAGACTTTTATATTCCAACAGGTATTTAGGAACTGGTCATTTTATATATTTGATTTTCTTTTGCACTGTTTTTAATCTTTGGTTTCATAAGCTTTTATTAGGACACAGACTAGGACTAGGATGCGGAACAATGGCTTCAAACTACAAGAAAGGAGATTCCACCTGAACCTCCTCACTGTGAGAGCTGTTCAGCAGTGGAACTCTCTGCTCCAGAGTGTGGTGGAGTCTCTTTCTTTGGAAGCTTTTAAGCAGAGGCCATCTGTCGGGGGTGCTTTGAATGCGATTTTCCTGCTTTTTGTCGGGTTGGATTGGATGGCCCATGACGTTTCTTTCAACTCTATGATTCTATGATTCTATTAGTTTATATCTCTAAGGAGCCCCCGGTGGCGCATTGGGTTAAAGCCTTGTGCTGGCAGGACTGAAGACCGACAGGTCGCAGGTTCGAATCCCGGGAGAGGCGGATGAGCTCCCTCTATCGGCTCCAGCTCCTCATGCGGGGACATGAGAGAAGCCTCCCACAAGGATGATAAAACATCAGAAATCATCCAGGCGTCCCCTGGGCAACGTCCTTGCAGACGGCCAATTCTCTCACAACAGGAGCGGTTGCTCCTGACACGACAAAAAAAAAATCTCTCTATAAAGTGCAATATTTTAATCCTAACTTTTTTATTGTGTTTTTTAAATAAAAAAATCTGTTTTTATTCTATGAGCTGCTTTCATTTCCACTTTTTGCAAAAAGGTAGAGCATAAACAAAACGACTGGCTGACATATATTTTCCCCAAATATCTAATCTAACTTAGTGTTAATGTGCATAACTCAGTCTCCCTAACTCTCTAAGATCCTAAACATTACAGTAGACATTCAGATGGTACAAAATCACCCCAGAAGGTGATGTACAGTTCTTTGAAGATCTTTAAGCCAAGTTTTCGGGCAATGTATTAGGTTCTTTAGCTAATAATTCCAAGGTCTAAATACTCATTTACAATGGGAACATTATTATAAAGAGTTCTCAAGGATGAGTTTCAAGTTGAAAAAATGGCTGACAAATTTAAATGTTGAAGTTTTGCTCAAGTTCATCTTTTCAGGCTACTCTTCTGATCATAAGAACTCATTTTGCATACCAGAGGAGACTCATAATCTGAACAGGTTGGACGTCTCAGTTTCAGGTTCAAGAAGATCTGCCAACCTGGGTTATAGTGGTGTCATTTTAGTCATGTCTGTTTAAATATAAATCCAATTTAAGCTCTGGAAAGGCAATTACAAGATAAATGTTTTTGTGTTGTTGAAGGCTTTCATAGCTGGAATTTCTGGGTTGCTGTGTGTTTTTCAGGCTGCATGGCCATATTCCAAAAGTAGTCTCTCCTGATGTTTCTTCCACATCTATGGCAGGCATCCTCAGAGGTTCTGAGATCTGTTGGAAACTAGCCAAGTGGAATTTATATATCTGTGGAATGCCCAGAGTGGGAGAAAGAACTCTTGTCTGCTTGAGGCAAGTGTGAATATTGCAATTGGCCTAAGTGATTTTGTTGTATAACAATTCCCACCCTTAGGGGATACACCAAAAATGGTTTGACATATATAAATGGCAGACTGCTTTATCTCCAATATACCAGACAGACATGGTAAGTTAACATTCCTAAAAAAGAGCAGTGTGACTTTAAAAAAAAAATTGGACCCCCACCTCCACACACTCAGTCATATGATTTCCGCAGCTAGGTGTAATGAGCATTTCCTGACCTTAGTTGGTCAGCTCCCTATAATACAAGTCCTTCACAATTGCAGACATCTTTTTGTCACTAAACATCCATCCTGTTTGTGTACAGTTTCCATCATGGCTGAACAAATTGTTTATGCTGATCTCAACTTGCCTCCTGAAACACCCTCCTCAAGGACATTCCACCCCTCTCAGCAGCCCTGTAAGTGTGCATTCATGTTGTTAGTTAGCTTTTCAAACTTGGTTGCCTTTTTGCACGGTTGAAAATGGTATGAATAGTCTAGAAACTCAAGAGTCTAGACTGAGTATTATAATTCTAATTTACATTTGCTGTATGTGGAAATATGTCAGTAAATTTTGGTGATCAGAGGAAACAACTTACTCTGCAGAAATGGAATGACATATGAGCTGTATTTTTTCAGACCTGAATTCTTCCTTTTGAGGAACACAGGGAAATATGAATTAGGGTTAGGGATAAGAGTGTGTGGCTTTGTTTTCTATGAAACCTGAGATTTGGAACTCATCCCAACCAAAGTCAAAATTTTGTAGTTGATTTGCAACATTTTGCAATAAGCCCCTGCTTTTTGCAGTGCTCCAAAACTTGAGACGCAGGCATTTTCAACAGGTTCCAAATAAATACGTAAGGAACAACGTTGTCCAATTCACTCCAAAAATAAAATTTTTGCAACATTTCATAACAAAAGGAAATCTGTGTTTCAGAACACCCTCAAAACTGAATAGTGGTCTGTCACATCAGAGTTCTTAGTTAATCACACAATCCTAACATTTCTGAGGCGCTTCAACACATATGTGAAATCATATCCAGCATTTCACAACAGCCGAAAAATTGGGCATTGTGTATCCCAAACGAGAGTTTTAGTAAACCTCCAAAATACAACAATTTCTGATTCACTCCAAATACTTGTTGAAGTTTTACAATTGATTCCGAACATCTTGTAAAACCCCACGGGAAAGCGGGGTCGGGGGTGGAATCTGTTATTCACTTGTTACATCTGCATTTTTTTATTATATTCTCTCCTTTTTTAAAGGTATAAGAACATCAACACATTCTTACCTGGGAAATAGCCCAAGGAACTCGGCAAGATAGTTTTCCAATTAAAATAGCCAGATTTCACTATATGGTTTCATCCTTACCTCTCTATTTCTTTGAGAAATAGATCTCGGAAGAAACTATATTCAAAATCAATTCTGTTTATAACTCTGTAAATAAATAGGTCTTTTTCCAAATTATGTAGGCATATCTAGCATATTTTAATGAGAGAATAGGTTATTAAAATTCATTTTAACTTGATATAGCCTATACACTGCCATTGCAGAACTCCTTAGACTACATGGGACATGTTATCAACGTGACAACTATACATATATGTTTACAAATGTGAATGGAGAAAAAAAAGGTTGATAAGATTAGGGGAGAGGGCATGCTCTCTGCTTACAAACTACCAAACTTTATGAAGTCAGAGCCCTGCCTTTACAAACTACCAAACTTTATGAAGTCAGAGCAGAGAAATTTATCATTCCTTCTAAACAATGTATTGCTGACAGTTGGAGATGGAAATTTATACTAACAAATTCAAAAATGTTACAAATTGAAAAACTATGGCTACTTCCATGGGATGTCTGCTGTCCAACTAGAAATGGGCGAACCGTAGAGAGCTACTGCACCTATTAAAACAACTGTTAATGCTACTTTTCTCATATCTTTTCTTCCATTTATAATGTAATACCAAGACCATCCACATTTCTTATTTTTGAAGTCACATCTCTTTTAATGGAAGAAAGACTATTGCAAAGTAATGAGCATATTCATGGGGCGGGGGGAAATCACACAATTTGGAGAAATTTTAGTGACAAACATGTTGACAGGAAAAATTGACATTGCTGCATACAATCTGTTCCTGTGTATGGAAATTGCTACAAAAGTCACAGAACCTTAGAGTTTGATAAAGAATCCAGGAGCAAGAATGCAAAATTTGACAATGGCTTAGAGCAGTGGTTCTCAACCTGGGGAACCCAGATGTTTTTGACCTTCAATTCCCAGAAATCCTAACAGCTGGTAAACTGGCTGGGATTTCTGGGAGTTGTAGGCCAAAACTCCTGGGGACCCACAGGTTGAGAACCACTGGCTTAGAGAAATTAGTACAATATTGGAATTTTTGGTTGTTTGCTATAGATCCCAAGTGTCTGTATTTCGGTTTTGGGGTGTTGCACAACTCAAGTTTTTTGTTTTGTTTTGTTGCAAAATAATTTCAAAACTTTGGCAAGGATTTCGAAGAGACTCAGAATGTTGGGGCACAGAGTAAACAAAGCTGGATGTTTTATGTTTGGAAATCATCGAATCCTAGAGTTGGAAGAGACCTCATGGGCCACCCAGTCCAACCCCCTGCCTAGAAGCAGGAAAATCCCATTGTTGGTCTAATAGTTAAATAAGTGATATGGAGCTACTAGCATGAGTATTCAAAAGAGAATGAAAAACTGCAAATAAAGAAATTGCCATTTTTAAACTAAATCTCCTGGAAACTGATCATAAGTTCATACTGGAGGACGTAATGGTTCTTAGAGAAAATAATTAATCAAATCCATAAATAATCAAATCCATAGAAGTCAGGTATGAAAGTGTGAAGGTGGTCTGTACTTTGCTATCTTTAAAAAAAATTAGGCAGGATATTCTTTTGAATAAATAACCATGAATAATATACTAATGGCAGCAAGAGCTATGTGGCCTCACAATTAATTCATCTTTGGGATTTGTGAGTCTCATGATAAGTGAATTGTAGATTTTGTTGACGATTTAGTGTATTAGTAAATGCACAGAAAAATATCTGATGTAGGTTATGCTACATTGGGGAAAATTTTTAATAAATTTGGCCTTTCCGCCAACAATTGGTTATCTGGTAGCTAATTTGTCTGGTGTGTGGTAACAAATGCTTGTTTATAAGTATGTTATAACATTAAAAATTTGATGTCATCCTTCACAGATACTTCCCAATCACCCCGCTGGCAAAATATCACTCTATGTATTGCATGCATTGGAAATGTTATCCTGTTGGCAGCTCTGGTAGCCTTAGGTGAGTTTTAGACTGCATTTTATGACTACTTGTGTTTTTAACGGGTCCTTTAGAAAATAATTGGTAGCTTTCAAAGAAAAAGAACTAACCTTCCTCCCCCCCCTCCTTCCTTCCTTCCTTCCTTCCTTCCTTCCTTCCTTCCTTCCTTCCTTCCTTCCTTCCTTCCTTCCCTTCCTTTTATTGTAGTATTATCTTGCTTCATTTTGTTGTTAATGTTTGCTTTCAAATTGTTTCCGACATATGAGGATCATAAGGAAGCTATGGGGGGGGGGGGGGGAATTGTTCAGCGGGAGTTTGCCTTTGCCTTTCTTTAAGAATGGGAGATTATGATTTATTCAAGGGTATCCAGAAAGTTTTTATATCTGAGCAGGTTTTCAAACCTTGATCTCCCAAGTTCTAGTCCAATGCTCAAATGTTACTATAGATAGTTGTCTTACCCTATTAAAAATGGCTGCCACAGTCTTTCTGCCAAAAAGTTTATGCACAAAGCCCTAATTACAAATGGCTACTGGTGTTCTACTCCACACCAAGAGACCAAAATGTTGGGAATTAACTCCACTTTGGCCAAAAAAAGGGGAGGAGGAAAAGGAGAGACGTCTGCTTTTCTTTTGCCAGGTTTGAGCAAGAAAGTTAATGGGGTGGGAACCCTTCCCACTTTTTATTATTACTGCCTTCTGCTGTGTCCCTACTTCTATGTTGACCCATATATAAATAGACCCATGTTTTGGAGGACATTTTTTGATTGATTTTGTTGACTTATACATAAGTATATGTGGTGAATAGTGAAAAGGCCCAAATGTTTGACCAGCCAGGGCCCTTCCAGACAGGTCCTATATCCCAGGATCTAATCCAAGGTTTTCAGTTTATCCCTTGTAGTGGAGACTCATACAATCCAGTTTAAAACAGAAAATCTGGGATCCAATCCTGCAATATAGGGCCTGTCTAGAAATGCCCTCATACTATCTCTGATATTATCATTCTGTGACAAGACTCTCAGCCTGTTCTAAAACTTTGCCCCATTTCATATATAAAGCTGATCAAGCATTTATAAGTCAGTGTTGATTGTCCCTTATATTGAAATTCAGATCTAGTATACATTTTTCTCGTGAAAATTTCACTATTATATGTGGCAGTTGCATATGTTTAAAACTAGTCCTTAAAGTAAAATATTTTGGTCCACTGAGAGGTTATAATTGCAAGGTGAGAAAGAAATAGTTTAAAAATGAAATAGAAAAATAAAGCTGTCCACTTTGCACAGTTTTGCAGAGGCAGGATGAGAAAGATGGATCAGAGATTAGTGTGACAAACTGCAACACCTCCTTGGCTAACTTTACGTCTCACCTAAGAAGCAGGCTCTGCAATAAGACCCAGGGAAGCTCCTCAGGTAAAGAATATACTGTATATTGTAGCTTTGCAATTTGTAGGAAAGATCCATGTTAAAATGGGGGGGGGGGCTTTAAGAGAGCAGCAATGATTTGCCAGAAAGTTGAGACAACGAGGGTGTAGGTCATGCTTTCAGTCTCGCTTGTGTCACAAGGGCAGTTGGTGGGGACGAGAGACAGGGCCTTCTCAGTGGTGGCTCCCTGGCTCTGGAATTCTCTCCCCAGTGAGATTAGATCAGCGCCTTCCCTCCTGGCCTTCAGAAAGAAAACAAAGATGTGGTTGTGGGACCAGGCTAATGCAATGCAAAGAATAATCAGGAAATATGTGCTATGACAATTGGAATTGCCACAGTGAACGATTTTTGGATCATGTGATTCTAATATTTATATTTGGCAATTTTTAATGCTGTGTCTTAGTGTTTACATGTTGTATATGCCAATGTTTAATGGTTTTAATATATAGTTATATGTCAGTATTTAGTTATTGTGATTTGATTTGATTTGATTTGATGTGTGTTGAATTCTTGCCATTAATATATTGTAAACTGCCTTGAGTCCCTCCAGGGTTGAGAAAGGTAGTACAGTGTTCCCTCGCTACCTTGTGGTTTGCTTTTTGCAGACTCGCTGTTTTGCGGGTTTTTTTCAAAAAATATGATTTTTAAATATACCAGTAGCGAGGGAATACTGTATATCCATTATCAAAGTGTGTTGTGTCTCCAGCGTAGATGCTGCCACAGACTTGAGTTGCACAGAGTGGAAGAATGGCTCTCGTGCTGCCCTGGGGAAGGGGGGAGGGGGCAAGCCAGGAACCCCTTGGTGGTGATATAGTCTCACAGGAAGTGATATTTGAGTGCCTCCTGGAAGCCGGAAACATTGCTCTGGCTGGCAGAGGTGGCAGGCTGAAAGGGAGGCATGTGTGTGGCTGGTGAAGAGCCCCATCCTTCCTGGAGCCTAGCCCAAGAGGCATCAACGAGAGGTGTGGAGAGGGCTTCCAAGGCACCTTCTGCTGGGGCTTCTTTCTTGGGTGACCGGGTAAGAGCCCCAGGCCAGTGGGGAAGCAGGGAGGGAGAAGGGTGGCTTCAGCAAGGGGAGGGAGGGAGGGAGAGGGAAAGAGGAGAGGAAAGAAAAGGGGAAGGGATTGAATGAGAAAGAGGGAGAGGGGGAGAGAGCAGTGGGCGGAGCCACTTCTAGGAGGGGTCGGTCCTAAGCCTCGCACGCACTGAGGCAGTACATCCCTACTTCACGGATTTTCACTTATTGCGGGTGGTCCTAAAATGTAACACCCGCGATAAGTGGGGGAACACTGTATATAAATATAATAAATATAATAATATAATAAATATGATTCTTAAACTGTGGGTCCCGATCCCAAATGGGGTATCCTTAGCTCAATGTTGGGGTCATGAATAATTTATGTAGCAGTCCGCCCAGTGGCTATTTTTGACATTTACATGAATCTGTTAGCAACAACATGCAGTATCTACTGTGGACTCTCCAGAAAATTCTTCAGCTGTACTTCATAAAAAGAAAAATTGGCCTGTTTAGCAAGCTCCACAAATGCTGTTTTGTTATCAGTAAATGTTTCATTTTGTATCTATTTTACATACCTACATACCTGGGGTCGCATAATAATTTCTTGGTCGGAAAGGGGTCACGACTAGGAAAGGTTGAAGAAGCCCTGGGCTAAACCAAACAAAATTTCTTAGATGTAAAAAGGTGGGACGTTCATATCAATTAGTCTTTTTATGTGAGTGCAAGGGTTGAAGGATGAATTAGTGTTTGTTTTTCGTATTTTGGTTGTTGTTTTGTATAACTTTATTTTGTTAGTACAAAATAAATCACACACACACCATACAAAACTGGGTTGACTTATACACATGTCACTGCTGGAATAGGGATCCAGTGAGGTGGTAGCAACAAGAGGAAAGGGCATGATGTGATTTTACCCTTTTGCCCTCTTTTGCCCAAACTGGAGAAAGAAAAACAGCTATCCCTACTTCCTCTTCTACTTTTTCAGGCTGAGCAGAGTTAAGCAGCAATGTATGGGAACAATTTTGAGTATTTGAGATAGAGTAAAGAAAGGGATTAATTGCATAAAGCTCCCTGGAGAGATTATGCTGGCTCCAAAACTAAAATGGAGAAGTCATATAGGAAAATTACATAAGCCAACACATCAAATTTTTGTAATCACCAAAAATGAGAGTCGCACGGTTTAAATGATTTTTTTATGCTGATTTTAAATATGTCTATATTTTTTCCCATCATGTCAACTTTTAAAAATATGATGAATGGAACATTACAGCGGACTATGGTAAAGTCTGTATATTTCACATCATATTTGTATAACACAGGCCAACAAGTATTTTTCATCAGATATGATTTTAGATCATTCTTATAGAGCATTTTGCACTGAATTCAGATCTGTGTTTTTTCCCTCTGTCACGTGTAGTTTTTGTGATCAGGCTAATCAAATAATTCATGCACTTACACACAATTAGATTCTATTAATATCAGTGTGTAAATGCATTAATTATTCGATTATCCTCTGATGAAAAATACTCATTGCCTTGTGTTATGTGATAAATTAGTATAATTACCAGCGTGTTGTCCATACAGTAATGGAAAGATGTGGTTGTCTGTCACAAAAAGATTGGTTCATGAAATTATATGATTTGCTGAGAAGGACAAGATGAGCATTTTGATTAGGAACAACCTTTTTTAAAAGGATTGAGAAATGATTATTGCTTTTTCAGGGATTATGGAGGAGTTATTAGTAGAAGGATTTGAAGAATTGTATAATTAATACACAGAAGTTAATTTAAAGGATATTTAAATGGAAATATTTTAGCACCTATAATCATTAGCTGGAAAGACGGGTGTAGTTCACCTTCCCATTGTGTATGTCTTAGGCACCATCTAGACTGCCATATAAAATCCAGATTATCTACTTTGAACTGGATTATATGGCAGTGTAGACTCATATAATCCAGTTTAAAGCCAATAATGTGGATTATCTGCTTTGATAATCTGGATTATATGGCAGAAGAAACCTTAGTGCAGCATATTAATGAAGTATTGTAGTTCATAGTATTTGCATAATTTGCTGTTGTAGCTTGCATTTCTTTTTAGTGTCTCCTTGCATGTTATTTGATATTGTTTCTTTTTATATGTATGAATGATTTTAATATGTATTTCTATCTTATCACAGAATAACAAAGTTGGAAGAGACCACATGGCCCATCTATGTTTATGTTTATGTGTTTTCAATCTATGTGTTTTGCATACCTTTATGTTGTGATGAGGTGGGTTAGAAATAGAATGTAGTAGTAGTAATAGTAGTAGAAAGATATTTTTAGATATGATGCTAATCAAAACAGTAATAGCCTTTTTTCCTTCCCCAGTGAATTCTTCCTGCCAAGTTTGCCCTGCTTATTGGCATCTCCACAACAACACATGCTATTGGTGGGAGTCAAACAATTCTCTTAAAAACTGGAATGACAGTAGAGATGACTGCACAGCAAGAGATGCCCAACTCTTGATCATCCAAGACAAGGAGGTGTTGGTAAAGGAAACAATGACACATGTCTTGAAGTGTGTTTGTATGTATACAGATTATATGTACAAGATTAGAGAGACGGGCCAAAACTAAAAAAATGAAGTCAGCAGGGACAAATGCAAGACACTCCACCTAGGCAAAAAAAAAAATGATATGCAAAGATACAGACCAGGGGATGCCTGGCACGACAGCAGTATGTGTGAAAAAGATTTTGGAATCCTTGTGGACACCAAATTAAAAATGAGCCAATAATGTGATGCAGCAGCTAAAAAGGCCAATTTTTGTGTGCATAAATAGGAGTCTAGTGTCTAGATCCCAGGAAGTCATGCTACCCCTCTATTCTGCCTTGATCAGACCACACCTGGAAACACACTGTGTCCAATTCTGGGAATTGCAATTTAAGGGAAGGGTTGACAAGCTAGAATGTGTCCAGAGGAGGTCAACTAAATTGATTATGAGTTATGAGAAAAAGCCCTATGAGGAGTGACTTAAAGAGCTGGGCATGTTTAGCCTGCAGAAGAGAAGGCTGAAAGGAGACATGATGAGCCATGTATCAAGGTGTGAGGGGAGGTCATAGGGAGGAGGCTTGTTTTTTGCTGCCCGGTAGACATGGAATAATGACTAAATGGGGGGTTTCCTCCCCTCCCCCTCAGGAAACAATGTTTTGGCAGAAATGACTGAATAGCTTCCTGGGGGATCACTCATGCTTATAATTTTGAGGCTTTCTTAAAGTTGGCAAACAATTAGAAAATAATAGTTCTGGGTAAGTGCTCCAAATGTTTTATGCCTTTATAATACAGGATTTCATAACAAATATTAACCAAGATAAACAATTCGCATATGCGTACTGGATTGGACTGTCTTTATCATGGCCAGAGAAGAAATGGATGTGGACTACAGGCTCCCTAATAGACAGAAATATGTGAGTTCTTTTTTTCATATTACCTCTGCCTCTCAAGATGGGCATGAAAACATGGAGATTTTATTGCTGAGACAATCTGAATATACAAAGGTCAATGTCAGGGCCCTTCCTAGGGCCATAGCCAGAAAAAAAAATTCGGGAGGGATTGAACATTTGGGGGAGCGGGAGTTGAAACCTGTCTCACACTGAAGCAAAGAGCACAGCAGGGGTCAGAGCAGCCTTCAATACTCTGCAGCTCCACCCCTGTCAACCACCTCCACCAAGTCTGGCCTCCTTAATGAGAGCATTCAACACCCCCCCTCCCCCCAACATGGTTGCTTCACTACATTGGCTATTGCTGCAAGTAATGACAGTGTGAATAAATTGTCAATATTTGCTTGAAATAGTGCTTGCAGTTCTGGAGGGACTCTTAATTTTTTGCGTCTCATAGACTTAGCATGGGGATTTGGTTAACTAGTTAAAATTCATGAGTAAACCAGGTTTTTTTAACCTGAAAAAAGTGGGGGGGGGGGGGCTACAGGCCTGGCTCTTCCACACAGCCTCATAACCCAGAATATGAAGGCAGAAAATTCCACAATTTCTGCTTTGAACGGGGTTATCTGAGTCCACAATGCAATATATCCCAGTTCAAAGCAGATAATGTGGGATTTTATTCAGCTGTGTGGAAGGGGCCTCAGTGAGAGAGGGGTTTAGATGGTAGATGTCCCAGAGACAGGGAAGCACTGAGATTTCAAGGTGGCATCTCAGGCAGAGTTGGCAGGTTGGTTTTTATTAAAACTGGGAAAAGTTACTACAGCCACGAAACCCACGGTGTGAATTTATGTTCTTTTCTTCCATAGAATCCAAGAACCAAACCATGGTGAAGAACAATATTGTGGAGCAATAAGGAACAGCAAAGTCCTGCCTGAAGCCTGCAGTGTTGATTTCAGATGGATTTGTCAGAAGGACACAGTTTTGATATGATGTTGTATGTTAATTCATGGGGTCATTATGTTGTTAATAACAATTTTGTTCTTTGCTAGAAACACAAGCACACAAATAAAAACTCACCTAGAATGCATTTCTGTTTCTATAGTAATCACTCATTGAGACATGTTCACTTCATTATGCCAAGACTCACTCAGTTCAGGATACTAGACTCAGAGTTCTTTCTGTTGTGTGTTAAGAGTCCAGACATGGGTGGCAAACAATTAGGAGGCACTTTCTCCTTCATACTCTAAATGTGAGATGGACCACCACTAGAAACTGGTCTTAGGGATAAGGACTTTGTAGCATGTGCCTGCTATTCCACTGCAGTCGAGTTATTGATGGTGGACGAATACTGGATTGAGCACTTTTAATATTTCACCTCTTTTCCATTGTGAAATTGCACTGATTTGACATTTTGTGGTCCCATGATTGTACTTCCACATTGAGGGCCCATCCAGACAGAACCTTTATCTCAGGAGCTTCCACAGCAAACCAGAGGGTGGCCAGGCGCCGTTCCCGGTAAACGCGGAAGCAATAACTAGAAATGGCAAAAGATGCAAAATTTTCAGGTCCAGGAATATCCCAGTTCTGAGACAAAAACCTACATCTTTGAATACCTGTATGTCCCTGCACTCAGAAATCATAGGGTTTTTTAATCCAGGTTTGTTTCTGGGTTTTAGATGTTTGTTCCTGATTGGTCAGTTCCTAAAAAGGTGACAGTTGAGTAAAATGTGAAAATTTGTGTGCCAGAAACTTCATGAAACATTTGGAGGGTATGTTTTCTCTGACCAGGAAAAGTTGTGGTCTCCTAATCAATGTTATACATCTTTTCACAATAAGAGCAATCAGGAACCCTAACCCTGTCTGTACAGATTGCCCTGCAGCTTATATAACCCAGGAACAGAACTTATACAATGATTCGCATCTTCGCATCTTAAGTTATTTTCTAAAAAACCTGCCCAAATTTTCAGTGGGATTCCGATGGCGGCCATCTTGGGGGTCTCTAAATCCTGCATTGAAGCAGCAAGTGTGGACGATGGAGGCAGAAATCTGAGGATCAACAGGTCTGTATGTGGACCTCTTCTGAAGCCACAGGATTTTTTTTTGCCCCTGATTAAAACCTGCGATTTGCTGCTTTCTGGAAGTGCCCTTAGTGGAAATCCCGCCTTCCTGCACTACCACTGCTCTGTAATTTATTTATTTATTTTATTTCAGAGCAATTTCACAATTCTAGCTTTTGACGAAAAAAGGCAAATGTAAAAAATAAAATGTCAAATGAATGGAAAAGTTAACAGTGGGGGGGGGGGGGGGAGAGAAGAGAATCCTCCAAGTGCTATTGCCACAGCGCCATGAAGCTCCAAAAAGCACTTAGCCATCCTTGACTGCCTTTTCTGGTATTTGCAAATGTGCACACATAACATGGGAAAGGGAGAGGAAAAAGAGGAAGTGTTCCTCTTCCTCTCAATGACTTTCACTGGCACCCTTGCAAATGTCAGCAATGGTGGCCAAGAAGGGCCTGCAGCTGTGTGGCTGGTGACAAGACCACCAAAATGGGTGCAATCCCCGTCCCAGTGATGCGGAGCACAAAGAAGTGGGATGGCTGTGTCAACCATGGGTTCTGTTCTGATATGGAATCAGCCCAACTGTTTACATGACCCTAAAGCATGCAGCTGTTCCTGAGCTGTAGAAACACAGATTGCTTGCTTGCTTTTTTTCTTACCTTCTGACGCCAAGTAGAAGAAGTCTAGCATATTATGGCTATGAAGCAATTTCTTAATTCTACTGATGATACCAAAAGGGACCTTTGTTAAGTACCAGCTCAGAAAACAGTATTATAGACAGAACAGAAAAAAGGTCTGTGGCACTTATGTGTTATAAAAATATGGGCATGTGAAATAAGGGCATGTGAACCCAGCAACCTGAGAAAGAGGGTGCCTGCTGAAGGAGGAGGAATCCTGATAGACCATCCCAAATTCCAGGCTTTTTTTACTGCTATACAGGTGGCCAAAGCTCTAATTTTTCTGCTCTAGTGTGATACTGGTGGSGGGGAGGGAGGCTGCTTTGATTCCAGTTTATGAAMTTCTGGGGCTTGTAGCTTTTAGGKGGTGGCCTAGGGTTCTATTTGCTTCACCAAACAACAAATCCCAGGATTTCATGTGATGCAACCATGGCAGTTAAGAGGGATTTATAGTGCTGTAATTGTGTGGTAAAGATGGAAAAATGTACACATTACAAAATGGGAAATCAGGAAATTAAAGTAAGCTCTGTTTCTTTATAATCATACGAGAAGTAAGTACCTTTTCATTGTTTATCGTAAAATTAAGGTGATAGCCTTCACTCCAAAACATGTACAGGTAGGTGTGTATTCTTAAGGCTTTCTGTCATGCTCTTGCTTTTTTCAATGAAAATTCCAACCCTCTTGTTAAAAGGTCTGCTGGGAAAAGTCACATGCAATTCCATAATCACAAAGAGAACAAATTAATCATCTCCCAGCTATAAGAAATAGTTGGTATACCCCAGATCCGAGAAGAACAGAATGACATATGGAAGCAATAGTTTCTGTGCCCTTAAAACAACTTGTCGAAATCAGAACTGCCCTAGCTTGGAAAACAATCGTGAAAACTAAGATAAAAACTAAGAGAGGCGGTAATAATATGTATGCTCCCTGTGTATGAAAAACATGACCAACTCTGAATACTGGCAGGGTTAGAAAAGGATTTATCTTGGAAGTTGGGAGTTATAGTTCACTCACATACAGGGAGCACTCTGAACACAACTGATGTTCAATCTCAACTAAACCTGAAACACATACATGCATACACACATACRTGATCAAATTTGAATACTAGCAGGGTTTGAGGGGAATTGTCCCACGATCTTGGGAGTTGTAGCTCACCCACATCAATTGCATTTTCTAATGGGAGCATTCATAAAAACAAAAGCAATGACTTTTTCTAATATATAGCATTACAAATTACCTCATCTGGCCATTGCCAGGTACCTAAGATGGTATAGAATAGAAGTGAGTGTATGGACAACAAAATATGATTGTGGCCAATTTCCTATTGACTCCTACTTTCAGATTCTACTGTGACCCCCACTGACAACAGACCTGGGCCAAACTTGGCACACAGCCACCCCCATGACCAATAGAAAATACTGGAGGGGTTTGGGGGACTAACCCACTAGGGTGGGAGTTGTAGTTCATTCAGGATCCAGAGAGCACTCTGACTCCCACCAATGATGGATCTCGACCAAAGCTGGCACACAGAAGCCCAATGTCCAACAGATAATACTGAATGGGTTTGAGGGACTGACCCAGCATGCTATAACTTGTAGTTCACCCTGCCTCCAAAGAGCACTGCAAACCCTGTTGATGACAGATCTGGAGCAAGCCTCTCACATAGAACCCCGGTGACCAACAGAAATAATGGAAAGGTTTGAGGGGATTGACTCAACATGATAGAAATTGTAGTTCACCCAACATCCAGGGAGGACTGACCCTGGATTTTGGGAGTTATAGTTCACCCACTATCAAAGAGCCCTGTGAACTAAACCAAGGATGGATCTGGATCAAACTTGGCACATGTATACAACATGACCAACTGAGTATTGGTGGAGTTTGGATGAGAATTGACCTTGACTTTTAGGAGTTATAATTCAACTACATCCAGAGAGCATTATGAACCCAACAGACAATGGTTCTGGATAAAACATGAAATGCATACCAACATGGCCAACTTTGAGGGGGGGGGGGAGTTGACCCATGATGTTGAGAGTTGTAGTTCACCCACAACTTTATTAGAGAAGTGTGAAATTCCGGATTTCAGAAAATGTCAGAGATTCAGAGATATGAACCACCAAAATACAAAGCTGAAGCATTTATAAATCAAWACACAAATTTCKGAATTTTTCAGACAAATTCAGAAAATTGGTTGATTCAGACTTTCCCCCCAATGTAACCGATCTTTGCCYTTTTGCACACTTCTAATCTTTATGTGTTTTCTAATTGGAGCATTCATGAAAAAAATGAATGCAAACAAATACTATTTCTTATAAATAGCATTATAAAAGACCTAACCCAAGTATCACTGGGTACCTAAGCTAGTTGTAAAGAAAATGTATTCCCTGTTAATATCAGAGGGGGAAAGAGAAAATATTTTAAGTTTGAAATAAGGCTATATTTTCAATCACATTTTAATTAAATGCATTTATTTACTTATTGAATTTTATATTACATTTTTCCACATGATACTAAAACACTCATTTACAAAGCTAAAAATAAATAAAATATTACTATTAATAAAACATGCTAAAAAGGCAATTAAAACACTTAGAACATATTTAAAACGGTCTCAATAAAACAATTTTTAAAAACTAAAAGAGACAAAATAAAAAATTTAAAATTGGCAGACTAAAATTGAAACGGGCAAGATATTATTTTCAAATATAAAGTGGATCTTCTGCCTCACTAGTAAGTTCTGAGATACTGCACCACTCAAAAAAAACCCTTCAATGACAGAAAACATCCTAGTGCAGTAAGCATTTGACAGATGAACAGTGACTTCTTTGCATTCTTCAATCTCCTGAAAACAAGGTTCAAACCATACGCAGAAGCACCAATGGGATGAAACCAAGCCAAACATTAAGGAGTTTCATGTCCTCTCTCCTTACATTTCCAGGAGGATCTAGAAATGGCCCATCATACCTAAGAAGAAAGAAAGAGAAGTAAGAAATGGTAACATATTCCTTTCTAAAAGTATTGACAAGTTGGAAGGTGTCCAGAGGAGGGCAACTAAAATGATCAGAGGCCTGGAGACCATGAATTCCTATGAGGAGTGTCTTTAAAAATTGGGAATATTTAGTCTGCAGAAGAGAAGGTTGAGAGGAGACATGATAGCCAAGTATAAATATGTGAAAGGGTGTTATAAGGAAGAAGGAACAGGCTTGTTTTCTGCTGCCCTTGAAACTAGGATAAGGGGCGATGGGATCAAATTACAGGAAAGGAGACTCCATCAGAGCATTAAGAAGAATGGCCATCTGTCAGGGGGTGCTTTGAATGCAATTTTCCTGCT